CCACGCACCTGCGAGACAAGAGCACATGCTCGCACCGCCAGCACACGCGGCGTGGGTGCTTGGAGGCATTGAAACATTATGTTCCCTCTTTAAACACGCAAGAACAACAATACCATTGTCAAAGAGCTGTGGAGATAGGCATGATTGATAAGTGGATCGCATGCGCAACGACAAATACGCTTATATGTCAAGGAATGCACTCAGTATACGATGATCCACGATTTGGGTGCGACTGGTTCACAACGACCTTCCGAAGTTGCCATGGCAATCAGTTGCCATGGCAATCACCAAATGATGATTGCCATGGCAACTGACACTAATCAACCAATCACATTGTGAGGTTTCGTCATGTGTGTGTTGGTATCTGCTTGTGTCCGTCTAGCAGGTAGGGGAAGGCTTTAGGGGAAGGCAATGGCGCTACACTCCGATGCATCCAGTGACTTTAATGCTTTCGATTGTGCCATGTTCATGAGTCCACGAATATGGCGCGTGCAGCCACAAGAACGATCGTTCAGCGTCCCTGCACGATACCTCATGCTTTTAGCTTTGACTTGGCTCGCGCATAAAGTGAAACAGACTATATTCCGGTGTTCGTGTCAGGGCGTGCGGCTTGCTTTCCGTCGGCGGTGTTGGCTGTCGTCGGTCGGCGTGTTTGCGCGCTCGGTGGCGGTGACTCGGCCGTCTGGGGCCGTTTTCCGCACGAGCAGCAGCAACAGCAGCGTGCGGCCGCATGTATATATACTACCCTGCTCGGGTGACGTGACTCCGTGAGCGGACACTGCATTCCTCGTGAGGCGCATTCCGCGCACACTGCGTGGCTGCCGGCCAATATGCGTCCCGGAGAAGGCGAACAAAGGACTAGTGCACGGCGCCCGAGCAAAGATTTGTATACGCACCCACCAACACCCTTTAACAATCTCCCAGAAATATTTTACACAAAACACATCTATAGACGTTGTTTTCGTTTCCTTTGGTTCTCAGTCAGGTGGAACGTTCCGTATTTAATACGCGGGATGAAAAAAAACAAATTCCAACATTGAATATGCGAGAAAATATATAGGTGAGGCAAAACAAGAATGTGTGGCGATCACCATTTTTTCGTGAACACGTTCCAGCGGCGTGGAGAGATCAAAACGATTTTTTCACGGATACCAAAAGTGACGACATTCAAAATGGCGGCGCCCTTGTGGAAAGGTGTAGCATCCACCCCCCTTGCCCCCGGAGCCGTCCCAAAATCCAGACGTGTAAACGTTACCAAAATAAAGTAACTAGATACCGTCACTCGTTACTCACTGTAAGAGTAACTAGGTGAGTTACACGATACCGTGATTCAAGAGGAACTCGATACTCGAAAGTAACGCGTTCTTGTTACCCTGAATGTGTCGTTTTTACGAAGCCGCTTCGTCGTAGGTGATAATTCCTCGCTTTTTAACGAGGTCATTCAAGGACAACTGTGCGTATACTGACATGGTTTGTACACACCTTTGTATGGTCTATCTGGGAGTCTTCTCACAAAGGCTGGTTCCCACATCTGCATCAACGGCGTTGAGCCGCATTGCGCCGTTCAGCACCGCTCCTCCCCATTGGCTCGTCGTAAGCGTCACCATAGCAACCGGTACGTCGGTCGGACTCGACGCAGGTGTGTGAATCGCCGTTAACACTCATACGGCCTTGAATTGGCTCCGATACGGTCTTTCGTAAGGTTTCGGCATTTTTTGCCCCCTTCCATCCGTTCACCAATTCGTTTATTCCTGTCATGTGTGTGTGTTTGTGTGTGTGTGTGTGTGTGTGGTTTTCAAGGTCACTGGTAAAACTCCGACAACATTAGATTTTCACGAGCTCAAAACGTTTCCACTTTTACACTTAAAGCCGGGATCGACGGAATCACCACTTTCGCGTTGCGGTGCCCATTTTGAGTGCCGACAATAACCTTCCGAATAGCCTCTTGTTTTCGATTTTTTTTACCAGGCTCTGCACACTGTTTGTTTCCCTCGTCGGGGCACTTCTCTCCGCAGCAACAAAGAGTGTGAGCACAGCTGTCGAAAACATGCGATTGACGTGTGCACGAGCTGCACACATCTTCTGGAAGGATTAAATAAAACCGCGCATTCATACTATTAATACGTCATCCAAAACACAACGTGTATAGAAACTGTCTGCCTCTCACTCGCATCACGCTGGTGTCATACTGGTCGTATACAAAAGCTGTCTGCAAACACGTCCGAAGCTCACATGAAACAAATATGGTTACAAGATGCTTGGAGCGCACATACTTCTGTCGTTACGTCTGCAGCAAACATGTACGGGTAGTGTCACTGTGCACCTGACTGCACGCGTAGGAAGTGAAGGACGAAGGCAGTTATAGCTTCGAGTGTATCCACTATTCGTTCCAACCGGAGCTCTGTGCTCCGCCGTCCCCGCTCCGCTCTCACCTTCTCCTCTCCCTCGGTGTCTACCCGTATATTCACTGATAGAGCACTGCCATAGCTTCCCATATACTGACAAAGCCTGGCAGATCGCCACGAAAAGCGGCCGCCGAAATGGAAAAGGTGGAGCGGCAGAAAACGAATGGGAGAAAAGCCACGTGACTGGCGCCCCGCTGCGGCGAGACGCCGAAACACACTTCTCCCGAGCGAACAAGTGTGTTTCGGGTCCTCGCCACTGCAAAAGCTGTGCGCTGACTTCCAGGTGCCCCGAGAAATGGCTCTTTGCCGCTCTGTGCTACCAGATCGTCGCGCTCCAAATCTGCGACCGGACACTCTATGGCTCCGTCGTCGAACTGCCAGGATTTGTGAGTATAGAGGAGGCTATGGCTCTGCACGGACCTTTCTTTTTTTCTTTCATCCCAGGTTCGTCCCGGACCTTGTGTAATGGTAATTTACCCGCCCGAACTTGGCCCAGGTGTGTGAAACCGGGCCCGTCCCAAACCCGAGCATTTTCTATGTTACCCGGCCGGGCCCGGCCGCCAGTCACCTTTTAAAACAGGCCCGGTCCATGACCCGAATTTGATGTGAACCCGGCCCGGCACGGCCCGTCCCCTTATAGAGCAGGCCCGGGCTCGGTTTTGATGTTATGTTGTTTAAACTTCGCCGCGTGGAGTAGGGAAGAAAGTATTGCTGGTACGCAACTTTTTCCAATTGTATGTTAGTACCTGACGGAGCTACGAATAACTCGTGTTAAAATTAACTAGGTTAGTGCAATTGCGACGCCACAGAGTGATATTCGCCTAACAAATAAAAAATAACAAAAGGTGGCAATGAATCTATCGGCCTATAGAGCTAAGCAACAGACGACAACTTCTACGTGGATTTACTTTTATTCCCGAGACGAGTTGAAGGGCACTATATACAAATGTCAGATCAACTATATTTCCACTCTCAATTTGCTCGCATGAAGCTTTCTACAAATAAACGGTATTTCTTCTAGGGCGGCACGGTAAAAATCGTTGCTTTTTCCTTATTCCGCAGAATTGCCAGGGACTAGCGAGGGAAGAAAATAAAAGTGAGCTTCCGACAAACATTTCATTTGCAGAATAAAAAGAGTACGGGTTTTTGAGCCAGAGCAAAATAGCTTATCCAATGAATCTGGCTTTAAGCACGTTCTGCTCTCTTGAATAATGCAGCCCGCGGAGGTAAAGTTCTTTTCACTTCTAGCACCTTGTTGCAGGAATACATAAAACCTTCTTGGCAAAAAAAAAAAAAAAAAAAAGATTCCTTGTTTTGAGATTTTCATTATTTCATCAGGTCAAAGCTGTTTTCCCACGACTCGCTGGACTCGGGCCTTAGCCCCAAGCCCGACCCGGGCCCGCAGATAGAACCGTGCCCGACCCAGATCCACCAAAAAGTCGCACCAAAAAGCAAAAATGCCGGTCCGGGCTTTCGGATAAGCCCGATCCCGTGCAGTACCCAGTCACTGACAGCCCAAGAAACGGATGGCGCGGCGAGTCCCGTGACTCTTGTTTTCGCTTCGCAGCCAATCAGGTTACGGCATCGGTCGACAAGAACGTCGAAGGACCAATCACGAGGCACCACGCGTGTGATCATTATAGACCACACCCTGCGTTTGATAAGATGTCGCAGCTATACTGGTTATCGCAAAAAAAAAAAAAAAAAAAGATTTTGCGCATTGCTTATTTGCCGCGCGAATTAGTTTTTGAAAGATTTGGTTGTCGGAGGGAGAAGGAGATGCTTTTGGCGTTTTAAACGGTTACGTTTTCTATAAGATAACATCTAATCTAAAATTCACCTACATATATACCTCTCCACACAAAGGGACAAATTAGTAATGCTTCGCAAAAAATCAAACTTTTTTTTTTTTTTTTTTTTTTTTTTACGGTTGGGATGAAAACGAGTATAAAAATATGTATACGGGCGTGACTTGTCGGCTGCACTGAAGATGCATAAAGGACAGCGCTGGGGGAGTGCTCACGGGAGATAATGGCCCGAAAGACATCATCGGGCAGGGACACGACAAGCCCTTTAAAACTTGGGTCTGACGTATACTGAATAAAAGATTAAAAAGCGCGAGCCAAACGAGGACGAAGAAGACACGTAGACGACAAGACAGTCGTTGAGAGTTAGCGCCTGTCCTGACGTCTTTGGGTGCTCATCGTCCTCGTTTTGTTCGCGCTTTATTAACCTGTTGACAAGTGCGTGTCCTTTGCCTTTCGCACTGACTGTTTTTTGTGACGTTTAACTGACTATACTCGTTGTCACATTGAGGGGAAAAAATGTTTTCGTGCAATTTTGATACGCTTCGCGAAGTATAGTCACCTTCCTAGATTTGGTTGTCGGAGGAGGAACCGATGCTTTTAGAGTTTGAAACGTGTAGGTCTTGATAATAAAAACATAAAACTATTATAAGATGAACACCTACATGTGATTTATCTTCACGTGACAGGGGAAATTAATAACGTTCCCCGACGAACCGCATATATTTTTTTTTTCTGCAGTTTCAACGGTGAATACGAGTAGAGGCCATCAGCCTCTATTAGTACTCACGGGTCCTAGGTACCGGTATCCCAGCTCTTGCGCTAGCTGTGCTGCTTCCAGGGGCCCTCCGCGTACGCGCACGGCCCACGCGTTCAGGTAGCGGGCCTCTTCCGCGGCGACTCCGACCAGGAGCGCGGCTAGGAGCGTCGTCCGGGCGGCGGTGCGGGCGTTCATGACGGCGTCTGGGCCACTCGCGCCGCGGTGTTCGGAAACCGTCCGAAGGGGGGAGGTGGGGGCGGGCCCTAGTGACGCCGTCGGCGCGGCCCGCACCCACGTCTGGAGAGTCCGGCCACGGGTCGCTCATTGGCCCGCCGGGACGCCCTGCCCCCTCCCCGGCTCGCTCAACACCCTGCTCACGGGGAACATCGCTGGACATCCCAAAAAAGGAACTCCTCTCTTCCACCATTAGTGAGGAACTCGGTATGTTAAGCCTAACTTATAAAAGCATTTGCGGTAACGCCCGAGAAAACGCCGGATAGTAAACACACTCTTTAAAGGGAGACTTGAACAAAATTTGAAATATACCCGTCGTGTTCAGAAATAGGCAGAATATGGTCCACAATATCCGTAAATGACAATCGCACATTTGTATTTTGAGCCTGATGGCTGTGTTTTTCGCTATATACGGCCCACTCTGGCAAGCGCTCGGAGAAGCAGACAGCGGAGAGCACGTGACATCCGCCGCAATCGTGACGTAGATTGTCTCGGGACGAGCGAAGCTGCGGCGAGGCTCACGTCGAGAGGATGTTTTAGCCGTTCCAGCCACCGAAGCGGCCGAAGCACGCCAGAGGGCGGGCTGCCGCAACTAATCCCAAAGCTGCTTCTGTACGAATTTTGAGTGACGGATTAATCTATAATCTTGTTGAGGGGCAGCGACATCTGATACGCACAAAAGAGAGTGTTAGGGAAAGGGGAGTTCCCCCTCCCCTCTTCTCTCGTGGTCAAACGAGTAGCAAGGAGCCCCTGGTGGATGTCGCTGAAGTCCCCTTTGTAATGCCCGTCTAGGAACCTTGACAGGTAGTGGCGATGCCTTGAACCTGACGTCAGCCCGCGAGCTCTCCAGCCACCACGAGAGAACACGGGAAGGAGGAACTCCCCTCTCACTGGGACTCTCTTTTGTGTGTCCGAGGCGTCCCTATTGTACCTCTACAAGATAATAGAATATTACACCATCACTCAAAATTCGTACAAAAGCAACTTTGGGGTTAGTTGCGGTGGCCCGATCGCTTGCGTGCTTCGGCCACTTTGGTGGCTGGAAATCCTGTGGACTTCAGCCTTGCCGCAGCTTTGCTCGTCCCGAGACAATCTACGTCACGATTGCGCCATATGTCACGTGCTCTCCGCTGGCTTCTCTCCGAGCGCTTGCCAGAGCGGGCCGTTTATAACGAAAAATACAGCCATCGGGCTGAAAATACAAGCGTGCGATTGTCATTTACGGATATTGTGGATCATATTCAGCCTAATTCTGAGCACGACGGTTATATTTCAATTTCGTTGAAGTATCCCTTGCCAAGGCGATTTTTTTAGCTACTGCAACTAAGTATACTTCCGGAATCACCGGGCTTTACCCTTTCCGGTATGCAATTTAGTATCACGAAATTCAGAATAGTTATTGTAAAATCGGCAAGTGAAAATGATGCCAAAACAAACATTCCAATATACCTGCGCTTCTCAGTTCCGTGGCGTCAGGGGAAGGCAGGCTTGCTTGCAGGTCGAGCGGGCTGTTCAGAAATGGACTATGCCGAGCATTTGCTTCATGCATGTTGCGCGGGTGCTGAAGCGAGTTTTCAAGGCTAAATTTCCACGGTGGGCCACCTCGAAAAAGCTTACAATTTTGCCCCGCTGCGGTCGCCGCGCCCTGATCGGGTGAGGTGTACCATGACGTCAGGGGAAGGACTCCGCTTTGCGATATCGCATCCGGCTCGCTTCCCTGCCCCCGCTCCTGGTTTACGATCATGCTGACCTACTGTTTAGTGCCGCAATGCAAATCCCGAAAAGAAGCTGGTATCATGGTTTCACCCCCAAAGATATCGAGGTTAAAAAGTGCACGGACAATGAAACTAAGGATGGTGAAGGCACCGTCAACGTTGGCCGTTCTGTGCCGTAAGCACTTCGACGTGCGGTACTTTGTTTACCCGGAGTACAAGACGCTGGGTTAGGCCGATACCGACGTGCTTCCGTATCCCTTCTAAGCGTGTTTGTCACTTTTACCTTTATAATTATGTTACAAATCCCGAAAGCTATCGACGGAGGCAATTCCGCCGATGAACCTCCCTGTCGGTCCTCACGGCACAAGGCGATCGTGCGAGGGGTCGTTGAAACGGCGGCGTAAGTGTTTCCGACGCTGAAATTCTGTTCCTTGCATGTCCATGAGCTAGGTGAATATTACACACCCTTTTGCAGGCATTTAAAATGGCATTTATATCAAAGGCCCTTGAACGGTCGGTAAATCATCTTGCGAGCCCGACTCTGCGCGTGCCACTCTGCATGCGCTGGTTCGCAGATGTTTTAAAGGTCATGGGTCTGAAGGCCTTTGAAGTGCTCCTGAAACAGGGTTGTTTTACATAACTATAGCTTCTTCGTCAATTAATTATATAGTTCATACACGTATGCAGGCATGTTTTATATTTTAGGACACGCACAATTACTGGAAATGAGTTTGTTTGGTAGCAAGAAAAACGGCCGAATTATCCTCAGTTGCCTGTATGAGATGTATTGAACTACAAAAAATATGCACAGCAATAGTTCCGTAATTTGGAACGTTTATACTATTTCTTGATATTCTTTATTTCAGCCTTGTGCATTCGGAAAATACACCGTTTAGTTTGAATTGTCATTTCCAGGTAAAAGAGACACTGCTGCAGGTCCCAAAAGTTTCCTCAGCCTCCAAGCTATACAGGTGGGCTGGCTTGCTAGAAACAGCGTCTCAGCTGCGACTGGGTGAAAGAAAACCTTGCCAAACTGCCAAAGCCAGCGCACGAACTGAGCGGGACTCCAACCGCGTCTGAGTCAAGACGCTCGTGTGCCCCAGCCTTTGCAGTGCCTCCTCTATACTCCCAAAGCCTGACAGTTCGACGACGTACCCATAGAGTACCCGGTCGCAGACTTGGAGCTCGAGGATCTGGTAGCACAGGGCATTTCTCGGGTAACTTGGACGTCCGCACACAGCTTTGCAACGGTGAGGACCCGAAACATGGTTTTCATGAAACAGGTGCGATCTCTTTGCGGCCTTTGCACGGGAACTATAGTCTTCTTTGCTGCGGGTTTGAGTTGGACAAGTTTCTAGAGTAATTAAACCCACATTTCAAAAGGCCGGCTGCCTGCAGGGACTTGTGTGGAACACTTATTTCTCTTCATCTCCTCAAGAAGCGAGTTTGTATTGAAAAGAATTTCATTATCTTAAGTCGAAGCTTTTTTCAATAGGCTCACTACAGTTATTTCAAGCAAGTACAATTGCCCACATTTTCACTCGCAGTGGTCGGGGAACAGTTGCTAAGGATGGTTCAGGTAGTGTTGGGCATGGTAGTGTGGTCGCACCCCCACGCGGCTAAAGAAGTCCCGTTGCTACAAAGCGAGAGTGAGGGCCACAAGAAAAACCGCTCTCTATCCCGGTCATGGAAAAACATGGCAGGGCAGGGGGGCTATGTTGCGCTTTCTGCACTCCCAGGAGACTAGGGAGAGGGAAGTAATGTCAACGACACAGCAAACGCAGGTTGGGTGTTGATTTCGTTTTCTTCTGTCAACATCCAATCTGCGTTTCCTGTGTCGTTGACGTCACTTCCCTCTTCCAAGTCTCCTGGGAGTGCAAAAAGCGCAACATAGCACCCCAGCCCTGAGCATCTCGCTTGATTTTATTTCGCAACACTGATCTCGGGGGGCTCACAAAAACGAAGCGCGAGGAAACTTCACGAGTTGTGATCCTGGGCCGTTTTGCTAGAACAGCGTCTCAGCTGTGACCGGGTGAAAGAAAGCAGTGCCATAGCCTCTTCTGTACTCACAAAGCCTGGCAGTTCGACGACGGAGCGCGAGGATCTGGTGGCACAGAGCATTTCTCAGGAAACCTGGTCGTCAGCGCACAGTTTTTGCATCGGCGAAGACCCGCAACGTGGTTTTCAAGCCCGACGAGAAAGGAAGCGGTAGCGCGAGGAACGCGAGGAGCACAAGCGGACATTCCATCGCTCGGGACAAGTGTGTTTCGGCGTCTCGCCGCAGCGGGGCGCCCGTCCCGTGGATCTCCTCTCTTTCGTTGTCTGCCACTCTACCTTTTCAATTTCGACGGCCGCTTTTTGTGGTGATCTGCCAGGCTTTGTCAGTATATAGGAGGCTATGGCAGTGCTTTCTTTTTCCCATCTATCTATGCTGGAACGCAAACTAAATGATGTAGAAAACTGCATCGTGCACTGATTGGCTATTCTCTCGGGTCACGTGACATGACGTTGAAATGTAGTTTTTCCCTATGCAGTTCGAGCTTGCTCGTAAAATGATGCAGTTGGCGGTGACGTCAAAATGTCGTCACGATGCACTTTGACGATGCAGTTAACTGAGTGGTCGAGACGAAGCCAGAGATCAATCTGCATCGTAAAAGATGGCGACCCTAATGGCGAATTCCACTGGTCGTTTTGGAGCGCGCCGGGATCGACTTTTCTGGAGCGAGCCTATTTCACTGGGCGATCGGGATTGAGACCGACATGTTTCACTGGTCGTTTTGGATTAGCTCCCGCTCCAGATCTCGATCTGGATCCGATGGCGAATTCCACTGGGTGTTTTGGAGCGCGCCGAGATCAGTTCACCAGATCCGAAATGGAGCTCACAATCCGAACGGGGTCGCGCCGGTGATGGATCCCCCGTGGAACATGACCACTGCTCTGGGATGGGCATTTGCCTTCATGTCATTCAACTGCCGGGGAATCCCTTTTCCGCGGCCGCCGCGGTCGTTTCGAAGACGTTTTCGCAATCACGGCGCTAACACGTGTTCGACGCACGAGCGGCAGGAATGGCTCAGGAGCTTCTAGCAAAGATTGCCGGAATGCCCGTAGCGCGGCCAAAACCTTCTCTTCTCCTTACTGGAAAACGAACCAGCTGTCGAGCCAAGGGGTAAAGGCCCTGTCACACTGAGAGGACAGTTGGACAACTCTATCCGGCAACACGGGGAAGTCGTGTTGCCGGCGACCCTGTTACATCGCGGCAACAACA